AAATTCAGGAGGGATATATTCAAGGTCATATTGTGGCTCTCATGGACTTTTTGTCTTCAACTTCAAATAGAATTTGCATATGAGCAGTTGATAGTCTGTTCCACAATCAGCTCCTGGCCTTGTTTTGGCTAAAGATATTGAGCTTTTTCATTGTCTCTTGCCACAGATGTTATCAATCTGATTCTTGTGTACTCTATCTGGTGATGTCCATGTGTATAGCCGCTGTTTGTGTTGTTAAAAGGGTATTTGCAATGAATAAGTCATTGGTCTTGCAAAGTTCTATCATGTGGTCTTTAGCATCATTTCCATCACCAAGGCCAAATTTTCCAACTACCGGTAATTCTTGTTTCCAACTTCTGCATTCCAGTCACCAGTGATAATCAACACATCTTGATTGCATGTTTGGTCAATTTCAGACTGCAGAAGTTGATAAAAATCTTCAATTTCTTCATCTTTGGCTTTGGTTGTTGGTATATATATTTGAATAATCATAGCATTAACTGGTCTTCCTTGTAGGTGTGTGGATATTATCCTATCACTGATAGCATTGTATTTCAGGACAGATCTTGAAACACCCTTTGTGCTGATGAATGCCACACCATTCCTCTTCAAACTGTCATTCCTGGCATAGTAGACCATATGGCTGTCTGATTCAAAATGGCCAAAACTGGTCCATTTCAGCTCACTAATGCCTAGGATATCAATCTTTATACGTTTCATTTCATTTTTGACAACTTCCATTATTCCAAGGTTCATACTCCATGTTCTGATTATTAATGGATGTTTGCAGCTGTTTCTCCTCAAATTGAGTCATGCCACATCAGCAACTGGAGGTCCCAAAAGCTTTATCCATGTCATTAAGGTTGGTTCTACTCTGATGATGGTACTCTCTCCCACCCATATTTTGACCTAACGGGCTGGTCTTCTTGCAGTGTATCAGACAATGTTTCAGCGTTATTCATAAAGTTGCCCAGTAATGTATCAAAGTTTCTCTGCTATTCATAAGGTTTTCCCTGGCCTTTTTGAGAAGTGGATGGTCTCCTCCTTCTTCCTAGACTGTCTCAGTCTGTAAGCTGCGTTGAAATCTGTGAACCGTGTGCAACCCTGCTGGCATTTGAGACACCAGTGGCACAGTCCCAAGCCTCACAGCAACACACAAGCCACCACAGTGTGATAAACTGACAAATTTGTGTGGCCTGTCTCCTTCCCCTTACCTGGGTTCCCATGGCTCTGTCTCAAGAGGCATATATGGTAACAAAGTGTACTAACTGCTGTGATGGTTAAGTTAGGACAAATGAGAGCATAAATGTGAAGCACCTAAACCAGTATTTTGGGAAAGGGAACTAAGGCAGATTTCAATAAATTTTTGCCTAAAAAAATTAAAGCCTTAAAACAAAGAAGTGTTAGCAAAGCATGAGATTGGGGAAAGGAAAGGGCAAAAAATGAAGTCTTCCAGAAATGTCTAATATGCACAATGTATTTAAGTAATTTTAAGAATTCATTATGCCTGAAGTGTCGTGTATGGGGGGTTCCCTCCTGTTTATGCTCAGGTGATAGCCTGCACTTTCCCCATCTTCCAGAAGGGCCCTCAAGTATATGGGAACTTCTCTGAATCCAAGAGTGACAGGCATTAAGGCAGTTTCCTCTTCTTCCAGTTAATGGCAACCTTCCCAGTTTAGTTTTCTGCCTCAGGAAAACTAAACTGGTGGCTAATGCCAGTCTCCTTATGGAAAGATCCCACCTTCTCATACTACAAGATTTCTGTGATCTTGATAATAACAACAGAACAGAATAATCCATTACCTTCATATCTTCAATGAGAACTGCCATCATAAAGGTCACTTTCTAAAGATTCAAGATCACAAGAAAACTGGACTTTATAACTTTAATTTAGGCATTAACTAAATGGCTCTGGTGGAGTAGTGCCTAAGGCACCTGACTGCTAACCAGAAGGTTGGCTGTTCAAATCCACTAGCCACTCCTCAGAAGGAAGATTGGGCAATCTACTTCCGTAGAGATACCGCCTTGGAAACCCAAGGAGGGGTCGCTATGAGTCAGAGACAACTCGACGGCACATACCAACCAAATGGCAAAAACTATGTAAATCTTCTCATCTCCATAATTCTCTTCATAGAATGAAAATCAATTTTACCTACTTTTAAGGAAGCTTTCTAAACCTCTAATCCAGAAAATATATTTTCTGGATTAGAGGTTTAGAAAGCTTCCTTAAAAGTAAGAAAGTCATTATAAGAAGGGAAACAAATTACATTTCTAAAAATTTTTAAGATCATTACTATACTGTGTTACCCCTGGGTCACTATTGTTACCCAAAGTCACAATATGCCAATATTCTAGAGACTCTAGTTTCTATTTACAAGCTGGCAACTTACTAAATGTTCCCTTCTGAAAGAATTATAATATTGTGAATAGAAAATACAATGATGTTTCGCATAGCAACTATCTCCATTGGGGCAAAAATCAGTTTTTTGGGGGCAGAAAAACTCAACTCTTAGGATATATAAAGCACAAATACCTATCTAGAACATAGACAGTATATAGTATATATGAAACTCCAAATTCACTGCCATTGAGTCAATTCTGACTTATGGCTACCCCCTTTGGGTTTCTGAGGGAGGAAATCTTTATGGAAATAGATTACCCAGTCTTCCTTCTGTGGAGTGGCTGGTTGGTTTGAACCACCAACCTTTTGGTTAGCAGTCAAATGCCTTAGGCACTACGCCACCAGAGCTATATATGTGGTATTAAAATTTCATAGGGAGCTATTAGAATAAAATATCTAAAAAGGCTCTTTAGGAAGTGATGATGAAGTAAAGTTTGAGAATACTGCTCTAGAGATTCTTTAGCCAAGTCGTTCATGTCTGAAGTGCATAAAATTCACTATCAACTAAGCATTGGAATATCAAAATAAACACCATTTTAAGAATAATTCAAAATCCCTGGAGGAAATAAAAAATCATGGTTATCCCATTTTTAGCCAACGTACTGTGTGAATGGCTCCAATACTCTGGCCTTTGTTACTCCTAGCAGAAGTCACAAAAATTGTTAAAGTGTAAAGAAAAAAAAAAAAGAAAAAAGAGGTTAATGGTTCATTAAATTTACAACACAGAGTACAAACCAAAAAAGCAAATTTATTTAAATTACTAAAATAGCTTTTAAAGTCATTTACAGATTGGTGGCTAGATTTGGTTTTCCTAAAAGATATAATTAATATGTTATTTTAAAATTTTGGTCAGTGAAACATTTAATAAAAACTTTTGTTTCTCCATATAATGTTTGTATAAAATAAGCTTCTTTAAAATCTTGTTTTAGAATCCTCTATAAAACAAATCATATGATCTGACTTTTCACATGAACAAATTAGAACAATAGCTACAAATTTATGAATATTGGTAGTTCTAGTGGAAAGAAACTGGACCACTCTCTACTTGTGGGACCCTAAAGAGGTAAATGATGAAGCCAATGACTAGCTGTATACCTTAAAAACAGTATTTTCATCTAAAGGTTTATGGACCAAAAAAAAGGATCTATCTAGAACTATAAGATTCTAAGAGAGCCAAAGGAGTTGACAGATGAGAAAGCTCAGTTACAGATGCAAAATTACAACTGAAATAATATAGTAGTACAGAAATATATTTTAACCTTCTTCATATGTGGTAAAGTTCACTTTTCTTTTTGGCTTGAGGCACTCTTAATAAAATTTATCATGTGCATAGTAAATCTTTATATTTGCTTTAGAACATCATTAAAGGACTTAGACTGCAACAAGTAGACATGTAGAAAATTAAATCCTCCTTCAATAGCCAAGGAAAGCTGGTTAACAAATGGTTTACTGAATTTACCCACCTTTATGAGTCAAATGAGCAAATATGCTTAGCTTTATGATACACAAGCTTCAAAAATCCTCGGGAAAACCAAGAATTTCTTAAAGGAAAAAAAACATCAAAAAAAGGACATGTGAAAAACAAGTCCCAACATAATTCACGGAGAAAACAGAGTTCATATACCTATCTTTGACTAATGTAACTTCAGTGGCTTACTGTAACATCTTAAAAGACCTTTTTCTCCCCTTCCGATAATTCTCTCTTCTCTTGCCTCCTTCTCGTCCACCATCCAAGAACAAAGGAAAAATCCAAACACTCAGCTGACCTTTCATTACTTTTGTTCCTATAAGCCGCAGCCTACTAAGGAACTCATATCTAAATGTTGTAAAAATGAACAAAACAGGAAAACCTCACAGTTGCATTTAGGAAGCTGCCTTACTAATAACTCAATAAACTTTATGAAAAATCCAAGTTAAAGAATTTGGAGGGTTCATAGGTAAGCTTAATCCCTCCCACTGGTCATGCCCTATCAATAATGGTTCAGCCCAGAACTAAATACAGCCTCTATGGGAGGATAATCTTAACACAGCTCTTGGTTAAAACAGAGAAATGATTCTCTCAAATTAACAGATAATTAAGTTGAATAAATGATTTAGACATTTCATGTTTATATAAGAACTTAACGCCCTTTAAAAAGAAACTAGTTCTTTCAGAAAGAGCTCTCAATTCTGTCTCTGGATAGAAAGTCTGAAACATTCTCAGAACTTGAAACACGATTTCCTCTTCTCTTGCCCTTTATAAACAGATGCCCCTTTTCAGGGCATTTTCAGGTTGCACAGGCAAGACTAGGTGAGAAATCCGGCTCCAGAGCCCACTCAATTTGTCTGGGTCCATATGATTGTAGGAGTTAGGTGTGTCAGAGCTGGTGAACTTGACTTTGAGGAAATCCCTCACTTTTTCTTCAATTTCTTTTAGGCCTAGACTGGTTCCAAGTGTCTCCTCCTCCAATAAGACAGTCAGGACTAAAGCTACATCTTTGAAGGCTGCATTCTCATGGTCACAATACTTGTAGAAGATCAAAGTAGAGCCGGCAGGCAGTGACTCAAAGCGATGCACCACAGCTGCATTCTGGCCATTTCTGAATCCATTGCTCAGCTTCTGGTCCACCTCTTCTTTGACAATATCACTGTCTTGAGCAGCTTTGCCTGCCCCATCTATCCGGATGGCACGGACACTACGGAAGGAAGAATAGGCATCAGCAATTTGTTCACTCAGACACTTCAGTGCTTCTTCAGCATCTCGGGCAGCAGTGAGCAGCAAGATAGCAGGCTGAGGCCGAGGATGGGAACTATTAAGATGTTTTTCCAGGAATGTTTGGCTCCTTTTCCACAGCTTCTCATCTTGACCTTGGTACTTATTCATAAGTTGTTTCATCTGGTTCTGGAACTCTTGAACAGCAGTGGTTTCTACCTCAGGAGTACGACTAGACCAAAAACTCCCAATGGCAAAAGCAACTATCAGTAAAAGCAGCCAGCTCCACTTCATCTTGAGAAAACTTGTAGTTTTGGGTTGTCCAGTCACTTCTGTTCAGAAAGAAAGAGAGGACACATATGAATAACACTTTCTTACATGCAAGGGAGAGTGACTTTTAAATTAATACTAATGAATATTAGGTAAAAGAAGAAGGAATTTAAAGAAGAGAGCTGAAAAAATAATTTATTGCTGAAAGAAATAATTTATCACATGCCTTTAAGAAAATCTCACACTATAGGCTTTAAATTGTGTGTATAACTATGCATATGTCTATTTAGAAATAAAGTTGCATTCATGTAAAGATGAGTAGGTGTTATAGAAAAAGAATTTTAAGCATAGTAAATGGTGTAAGCAAGTCAGAAATAATAGAGTTTATAAAGTACAGCTATTACTACTACTGCTATAGAGTTGAGAAGTAAACAGTATTAAAAGGCACTTCATAAAATATTTTCCAATTTAGAGTATCAGCATGACTAATTACCTAAGGTGGAATGTTTCTAAAGTACATAAAGTCATAAAGAAAAAGATACAATATAAGTGATATTTTCCATATACTATAAAAGCTAGCTGCCCCTTTAGATTACTTGTATTGATAACTATCTTTCTGTGGTATGCAAGTTAACACTAGGTTTTGTAACTTCTACCTAATTATTACTGGCAATAATGAAAAGTTTACATTTATGCAATGCCTTTCAGCTTATAAAGCTCTTTTCCACAAACCAGTTCATTTTATCAGTCAATGAATATTATAGGACCATAAACACTTTTATGCCTTCTATTTATTGATTGACTGCTTCAGGCTAATAATTGTACTAGAGACCTTTTAGAGCAACAGTTTTCAAAGTGTGGTCTGTGGGCTCCATAGAATACCTCAAGACCCTTTCAGTGTACAGGTCTTTTTTTTTTTTTAATTTTTATTGTGATCCGGGTGAAAGTTTACAGAGCAAATTCATTTTCCACACAGCAGCTCACATACACTTTGTCTCATGACATTGACTACAATTTACCACAATGCAACAGCTCCCCTCCCACTTCCTCCCCATGGTTACCTCTTCCCTGTGTCCTTCCCTCCCATGTACTCTTGCCCCCTGAGCTGTCTCCCTGTGCATACACAGCCCTTCTATTCTCCCATGATTGATCTCGCCAAGGAGAGATCTACCTAATATAAATGTTCAGCTCATATGCCTGTCTTTTGTTTGGCTGGAAGCCACAGGAGTGAGTTCAATTCCAAGACTTGAAGGGCAGCTAGGTTCCACCAGGCTCTATCGGACCAGCAAACCTGGTCCTCCCCCTCCTTTTTTTTTTAATGATTTTCAGTTTTGTTCCACCTTGTTCTCCCACTCTATAGTATACAAGTCTTTTACTTTCTTGGTTAAATTTATTCCTAGGTATTTCATTCTTTTATATGCTGTTTCAAATGGAATTGTTTCCTTAATTTCCTTTTCAAATTGCTCACTGCTAATGTGTGGAAACCCAACTGATTTCTGTGTGTTTATCTTATAGACCAGTGGAATAGAATTAAGAATTCAGAAATACAGCCATACATCTATGATCAAACAATTTTTAACAAGGGTACTAAGTCCATCCAATGAGGAGATAATAATTTCTTTAATAAATGGTGCTAGGACAATTGATTTCCATAAGCAAAAGAATGAACTTGGGCTGATATTTCATATCATATATGAAAACTAACTCCAAATAGATTAAAAACCTAAATGTGAGGACTAAAACCATAATTTTTTTAGAAGAACACACAGGAGTAAGGTTTTAGGATCTACTTTTTAACAATGGGTTCTCGGATATGACACTGAAAGCATGAGTAACAAAGGACAAAATAGACAAATTGGACTTCATCAAAATTAATAACTTTTGTTCACAAGAGGATTTTATAAACAAGTGAAGACCCAGTCTACAGCATGGGAGAAAAATTTTGAGAACCATGTATATGATAAGGGTTTAATATCCAGAATATATATAAAAAACTCCTTCAACTTAACAAAGACAAACAACCCAATGAAAAAATGGAGAAGGGACTTGAATAGACATTTCACTGAAGAAATACAAATGGCCAAAACATGAAAAGATGTTCAATGTCAGTAGTTATTAAGAAATATAAATCAAAACCACAATGAGATATCATTTCACACCCACTAAGATGTTGTTAGGTGCCGTCAAGTCACCTCCGACTCATAGCGACCTCATGCACAGCAGAACAAAACACCACCCGGTCCTGAGCCAGCTCCATGATCTTTGCTATACTTGAGTTCATTGCCGCCGCCACTGTGTCAATCCATCTTGTTGAGGCCTTTCCTTCTTTTATCAACCCTCCACCTTACCTAGCATGACATTCTTCTCCAGTGAATGATTCCTTCTGACAACATGACCAAAGTAGGTGAGACGAAGTCTGGCCATTCTTGCCTCCAATAAGCATTCTGGCTGCACTTCCTCCAGGACAGATTTATTAGTTCTTTTAGCAGCCCATGGTACTTTCAGCATTCTTCATCAACACCACAACTCAAAAGCATAGACTTTTCTTCAGTCTTCTTTATTCAATGTCCAGCTCTCACACGCATATGAGGCAACTGAAAACACCATGGCTTATGTCAGATGCACCTTAGTCTCAGCACTTGAAAGTGGTCCTTTGCAGCCTATTTGCCCAGTGCTATACATCGTCTGATGTCCTGACTGCTGCTTCCATTGGTATTGATTGTAGAACCAAGTAATGTGAAGTCTTTTGACAACTTCCATCTTTTCTCCATTTATCGTGATGCGCTTATTGGTCCAGTTGTGAGGATTTTGGTTTTCCTTATAGTGAGATATAATCCATACTGCAGACTGCATTCTTCAATCTTCATCATTAAATGCTTCAAGTCATCCTCACTTTCAGCTAGCAAAGTTGTGTTGTCAGTATATCGCAGGTTATTAATGATTCTTCCTCCAATCCTGATGCCATGTTCTTCATATAATCCAGCTTCTTGGATTATTTGCTCAGCATATAGATTAAATAACATGGTATAAGGATACAACCCTAATGCACTCCCTTCCTGATTTTAAACTATGCAGTGTCCCCTTGTTCTGTTCGAATGACAGCCTCTTGGTCTATGTATAGGTTCCTCATGAGTACAATAAAGTGTTCTAGAATTCCCATTCTTCTCAATTTTACCCACAATTTGTTATGATCTACACAATCAAATGCTTTTGCATAGTTAATAAAAACAAGTAAACATCTTTCTAGATTCTTTGCTTTGAGCCAAGATCCATCTGACATCAGCAATGATATCCCTCGTTCCACGTGCTCCTCTGAATCCAGGTTGCACATCTGGAAGTTCTTTGTCAATGTACTGCTGCAACTGTTTTTGAATTATTTTCAGTAAGATTTTACTTGCATGTGATATTAATGACATTGTCCGATAACTTCTACAGTCTGTGGGATCACTTTTCTTTGGAATGGGTACAACTATGGATCTCTTCCGGGAGCTCTGGTAGCATAGTGGCTAAGGCACTTGACTGCTAACCAGAAGACTGGCGGTTCAAACCCACCAGCCACTCCTCAGAAGGAAGATGGGGCAATCTACTTCCGTAGTGATACTGCCTTGGAAACCCAAGGAGGGGTCGCTATGAGTCGGGTCCGACTCTACAGCACATAACAACAACATGGATCTCTTCCAGTCACTTGGCCAGGTAGCTGTCTTCCAAATCTCTTGGCATAGCCGAGTAAGTGCCTTCTGTGGGGCATCCGTTTACTTAATCATAGCTCACTAAGATGGCTATGATTAAAAACAATGGAAAACAACAAGTATTGGTGAGAATATGGAAAAACTAGAATCCTTATCCATTACTGATGGGAATATTAAACGGTACAGCTGCTATGAAGAACAGTCTGGCAGTTCCTCAAAAAGCAAAACAAAGAATTACCATATAATTCAGCAATTCCACTCCTAGGTATATACTTAAAAGAACTGAAAGCAAGAATGCAAATAGATACTCATATAATAATCACTGTAGCAGTATTCAGAATACCCAAAAAGTGGAAACAGCCTAAATGCCCACTAACAGATGAATGGATAAACAAAATACACACACACACACACAATGCAGTATTACTCAGCCATAAGAGAAATGAAATCCTGATACATGCTACAACATAGATGAACTTTGAAAACATCATGCTGAGTGAAATAAGTCAATCAAAAAAGGACATATATTGTCTGAACCCACTTACATGAATATTTAGAATAGGTAAGTATTTAAAGACCAAAGTTTACCAGTGTTTACCAGGGGCAGGTGGGATAGAAGAGGGGAGAGGAAATCATTGCTTAGGGGACAATGAGTTTCTGTTAAGGGTGATGGAAAAATTTGGAAATGGATAGTGGTAATGGTTGAACAGCATGACAAACATAATTAATGTTATTGAACTGTACATGTAAAAAAATGCTGAAATGGCAAATGTTTTGTTACATTTATCATAATTTAAAAAAGTAGTAAAAGACCTTTTCAGGAGGGTCCACGAGAAAACTATTCTCACGATACAATATATTCCTGATTTTTTCACTGTGTTGACATTTGCACTGACATGCAAAAACAATGGTGCGAAAACTCTTGGTGTCTTACCATGAGTTAAGGCAGTGGTGCCAAAAACTATATTAGTATAGTCACTGTATGCTTCACCTTCATGCATTCAAGGTGAAAAAAAAGAAAAAAAGGCCAGCTTCACTTAGGAATACCCTTCATGAAGCAGTTTAAATAAACAATTCACCTTATTAAATCTCAGCCCTTAAGTATAAATCTGTTATGGATTGAACTGTGTCCTGTAAAAAGAAATGTTTAAGTTCTAATCCCTGTACTGGTGAATATGACCTTGTTTGGGGAATCAGGGTTTTTCTTTGTAAATGTTAGCGTTAACAAGGTAATATAGGAGGTGAGTGGGTCTCAATGCTACTTCCTTTTGAGTGGCATTTTATAAAAGGAAGGAAAAGGATGGAAAAAGAACCACACACATGGGTGTAGGGAAGACAGCATGTGAAGGTCCGTCTACAAACCAAGGAAATCAAGAAACACCTGGGCTATGGAAGTTTAAAGAACAGATTCTTCCCGAAACCCTGACTTCCCACTGCCAGCCTCTATACTGTGAGAAATAAATTTCTATTCTTTAAAGCCACACATTTTGTGGTATTTGGTGATATAACAGCCTTGGAGGCCTAAAACAGTACCTTTTTAATATTCTGTATGTAAGAAATGAGAAGGATGTGTAAAGCATTTCTGCTGTGTAACATACTGACAGTGGTTGTCAAGGATAAGAACTCTATGTGATTGAGCTGAGTACTAAACTAGCGTCGTCTTCTTCTTCTTTTTTTAATGGAACATCATTTTTACTTAAAAGAACAAGTGACAAACTATGGTTATTCAGACTTGAGTATTTGCCAGGTATTGTTTTGAAAATAAAAACAGTGAACCTGTTACATCTAGGAAAACAACTGACAATTATTTGTTGCCAATTATAAAAATCAAGCTTTGAAAGTAAAATAAAAACGTGGGAAGCACTAAAACCACCACTATGCTCTTGACAGCTTCCAATATTTAAAGACTTTTTTTCTTTTGAGATTGGTGTAACATTAACAAATATGATTTTTTGATATTTTATTATGAGTTTGGAAAATCTCTGTAACTTAGACAACCAATATTTTCAAATGACCAATGTGTGATGTTCTATTCAAAATAGAAGGGAGACCAATGGATATTAATGTAATAGAGTACAAAAAGGCCATTAATGTGGTTTCAGATTCTATATCTCAAATAATACTTAAGAAACTATCAGTTGCTGAATTTAAGTAGTACCAAAGGAATATCCACAATTATCCAAAAAGACTATTAAAATTCTGTATATCTATGTAAAGCTGGATTTTCTGTAGCTACTGCAACCAAAACATCACAATAGACTGAATGCACAAGCACCTATGAGAATCCAATTCCAGTTTATTATTAAGCCAAGTATTAAAGAAGTTAGGGGGAAAAAAAACATACAAAGCAATTTGTCATTCTTCTTATGAAATTATTTTTAAATAAATTTATAAATTTTTAGCTGAATTTTCTCAATTTTAATTTCTAAAGAAATATATAGGTATAATCCATACATATACTTTTTTTTTTTGGTAACAAAATAGCTCTTTAAGGTTTTACTAGTGTAAAGGGGTACTAAGATAAAAAAGTTTGTGACTCACTATCATTTTCCCTTTAGTAGTCATTCAGGATAATGAAGAGACCTAGAGAATTAAAGAAACTTGCTCAAGGCTACACAGGCTAATGGTTCCATGTAATTCAAATCCAAGCTTGTAGACTCCAAAACCTTTGATAATTTCATTATATTATGCTATGTGCTGCCTTTCCCTTGGTTTAGCAAGGTTCATTAGGTAAATAGTATTACCATCTTTACTTATTAACTGTTCCTACTTTTGGTCTTACACATAATCAAGTGATGTTCATATAGTTTGTCCTTAAAGAATTAAAACTGCTAATAAAATATATACATTTCTTCTGAAGTGCTTAAAACATATTTTTTCAAATAGCATAGTTTAAAAATTATTTTGCCATCAAAAACTTAAAAACATAAGGGCCACTCTTTTTAGAGACTTTACTTAGTAGAAATTGAAAAGACAAGCTTACGTTGGCTGGTGGTTGATGGAGATTGGTTTCCAAATGCTGATTTCTGAACACTGTCATCTAATAACGGGAGTGAAAAAACAAGACAAACAAGAAACACTATCAATTTATGTTTCATGATTTGAGTATTTACTTTTAATAGAGAAAGAAAATACAAATTCTACCAAGAGAAAAGCAGAGATTAGCCAGAAACAGAAGAAAAAGCAGAATATCCAATTGCTCATTTGACTGAATGCTCCTTGAGATACAATATCTATTTTTTTTTTTTCATAATAACTTAGAGCTTGTGGTGGTCTAGTGCAAACATACACTAAATACATTAATTTTATGAGAAATCCCATAATTATTTAGTGGGATTGGTGAAACTGCTGGGACAAAGTTAGGAAGACAAAGCAAACAGCTATAACTAATTTAAAAAGAAACATATTATACCATCTGAAAAACTGCCATATATTGAACTCTTGCCTGGTGAAGATGCTGTAAAGAAGGGGAAAAGGACAAAATGTGGATTATGAATTATTAAGTACACAGATAAAGTGTTTAATATGAACCCCAATCTTACTCCTCACTATTTTCTACTCCAAAAGCTTCAAATATTTCTTGAGGCTTCTGACTATTTAAAATATATTTAAAAAGTCACATTAAAAAACCTTTCATCATTTCTATTAACAGACAAATACTTCTGCTTTACAGCTAAAACAGATCTCAAAAATAATTTTCTTACTACATCAATTCTCTACTTCCATCATTAACTCAGCAAATATATTTAAAATGATCCTAACCCTTCCCTCTTTGCCCCCATCCCTCTTGGCATGGCAGCAGCCTGTAACATCTATGAGAGAGGGAACAGAAGGTCAGGGTTCAGAAGGTGGAGAGGCTGAATTCGCATTCAAATGACCTACATTTACCAGTACTGTCACCCATCAGTTACCTGAAGGTGTGTAACTTTTGTGTATATATATGATCTTCCTGGTATTTATCAACAGTTTTCACTTGAGAAACAGTGGGCTTAACTGAAGGAATAAAATTAGCACTGCTAAGATACAGAAATAGCTTCAAAAAGACCATAAAACCTCAAAAATGATATCCCTAACTCTCAGAGGCATGTTTTTCAAATACTAGTATAGACTAGGAAATGTACCCATTTAGAGGACTTCTAAGTTAGGTCATCAAAGTTAAACTGAATTATTTAACAAAACAACCAGACAATATTTATCCTACCTCATTCCATGGTTACAAAGATCAAATGGAGCGGGGGAGAGAATATAAATATACATATATATTTTGTGAAATGTTATTCTATGATGATATTCATAATAAATAACTAAGTAAAATTATATAACATATGTAGTACTTATATAATTCACAGAGCAAAAAAACATACTTAGCAGTGTATATACTGTTGAGGCAGGACATTGTCTAAAAGGAAATGTCTATCCCTCTTATTAAAAATATTATTAGAGACAGTAACATAAATTCCTTTCAAAAATCGTCTTAAAAGGCAAAACTTAAGTTTTCCCAGTCTGAAGGGTATGGTAACAGTAATGCTGTAAAAGCCAGGAGTAGTGGGCACAAAATCCCCACAGTTACTATTACTGGCAATTACTACACAATATAAAAAAGGAGCTCTGGTGGTGCAGTGGCTGAGGCATTCAGCTGCTAACCAAAACGTTGGTGGCTTGAAACTACCAGCTGCTCCATGGGAGAAAGATGAGGCAATCTGCTTCTGCAAAGATTTACAGCCTTGGAAATTCTATGGGGCAGTTCTGCTCTGTCTTGTAGTGGTTGTGATGAGTCAGAAATGACTTGATGGCAGTGGGTGTACTATATATTGTTAACTATAAGTGAGTATTAATAATTATATGGTACCTTGCCTTTAAAAATTGCATTCGCATATACATAAAATCATTTGAGTCAATACTGTCTCTAATGGTAAGGATATTGAGATTTATAAAAGTTAAGTGACTGTCCCAAGATTATTCAATTAGTAAGTGGAAGAAATCCAAGAGGTCTAACTCTAAAGTCTGTCCTCTTTTCTCTCTATATACCACCTTTGGACACAGGTTCTAAAGCATGTGTATTAATGAGGCAGACTCAGAGTTCTGACTTCCAATAGACATATTCTCTCCTACCATCATTATTTTATCACCTGTGAAACAGGAAAAAGTAGTCAGGGTCCTATCTTTCTGAAAAGGTTAGGAAACAGGCAGAAGCCTGTCTATTCAGAAAACTGGAGTTGACAGAGGCTAATAGACAAGGATCTAAAGAGCTCCCAGGTTCTCAAACATCCAGAACTAAAAATGACTTTTTTTTTCTCTCTCACATAAGCTGGCAGAAATGCACAATTAAGACAAACAGATATGAAATGTGGAATACTAAGAATATTTTTTTCAATGGTCTTGAATTGAAGAGGAATCTATAATCTACACTGCAGTCTTCTTCCACTTCCATTGAAAATATTTTCTTCCTGTTCATTGTTCTTATCTTAAAGTCTTTGTATAGTTAAAGGTCTAAGAAAATCTGTTATGTGTACTTTAATATGCATGTAAATTTCTCCTTATCTTATTTTACATAACTGTCAATACTCAAGATGATACCTATATGTGGCACATGGTTATCAGCCAGTGTACACATATTTAAGCCATAATAAATACCCTCACTTAAGACAAATGGGATGTCGTGAATTACTCGATCTTCATATATAATTATATACCCTTCTGCACTAAATTTGAACAGTGTCTTTTTGGACGAAATGAAAATCACACAAACATTTTCTTATAATAATATGTACTACTTCACTTAGTTGGAAGTCATTTATTTGGTATTAATTATCCAGAACATGTATATAGTTAAGAACTAAGAAATAACATAAGAAGTCTGAGCTCTTCATTATATACATACTAAACTCATGCATTCTTACTTTCAAGAGTGTCTCTCAGGTTCTCATTCAAAGTTAATTTTAATTTTTGATTCTGGTTATAAACATAATTCTAACAGAGTAAAATATGATTTCCTAACCATAACAGGTCAAAAAGAACAAATTGTTAAGAGGAAATGGTCTTCTGATAGTAATCACACATTCACAGTAATAAGAAATGATAGCCGTAACATGGTCCACACAAAGACAATGTTCTACCTCCTACTTTGGTGATCAGCAACTGGGGTCTTAAAAGCTTGTGAGTGGCCATCTAAGGGACAATTATTGGTTTCTCTCTGTCCAGAGCAAAGAAGAGGGAAGAAAATCAAAGATACAGGAAACAATTAGTCCAAAGGACCAATGGAGCAGCACACTAACCCCAGCCTCCACAACCCTGGAATTAAAGAACTAGATGGTCCCCGGCTACTACTGCTGACTGCTCTGAAAGAGATCACAGTAAGAGGTCCCTGACAGAGTGGGGGAAAATGTGGAACAAAACTCAAATCATAAAAGAAGACCAGGCTTACTAGTCTGATAAAGACTGGTAAAACCGCCAAGACTATAGACCTCAGACACCACTTAAGCTGGGAACTGAACTTAAACCCCTGTAATTCAACTGGCAGCCAAACGAGAGACAGACAGGCCTGTAAGGTGAAGAGTGGTATCAGGAGGGTATGTACTCATTACAACAATCAAGCATATCAGATTAAGAGGACAGCATTTGCCCAGGGATAGAGCTAGGAAGTTGGGAGGGGATGGGAAGAAAGAATAAAGGGAAGAGGTAGGCATGGGGAGGAAGTGGGAAGAATGCTGTTCCAGTGTGAGGATTGCAGTAAATGTCACAAAACACAATGTGTATGGCTTTTTGGGGAGCTCTGGTGGCGTAGTGTCTAAGGCATTTGACTGCTAGCCAGAAGGCTGGCAGTTCAAACCCATTAGCCATTCCTCAGAAGGAAGGTTGGGCGATCTACTTCCGTAGTGATACCGCCTCGGAAACCCAAGAAGGGGTCACTATGAGTCAGGTCTGACTCGATGGCACATAACAACAACGTGGCTTGTTGAACGGAAAACCAATTTTGTGTGTAAACTTTCACCAAATCATAATTAAAAAAAAAAAGAAAAGAAAAGAAATGACAGCCAACAATAAGACAAGGGTAAAATGCTCTTTTATTTTAGACTGCTGGAAAATTCACTTATGTGTGGGAAAAACTTCTGTGTTTTGACAATGAGAAAAAAATTAATTGTAACCTTTACTACTTTACTGATGAAAACAAAGCCACCAAGGTTATCTTGTCCAATTACAGTTAGTCATTTCATGAGTGTCAAAGACTGAACTGTAGTCAATGACATGAGACAAAGTATATGTGAACTGCTATATGAAAAGTGAATTTACTCTGTAAATCTTCACCCAAATCCTAATTAAAAAAAAAAAAAGACTGAATTGTATAGCCCCCACCATAGTTGTCAACTTGGCTGGGCCATGGTTCTCAGTGGTTTGGTAGTTATATAATGATGCAATCTGACAGTTATATAATGATGTAATTATTCTCCATGATGTGATCTGCTATGATCAGCAAATCAGCTGTAAGGAGATTAAGGTAGGATATAATACCTTTGGGAGCTCTGGTAGCATAGTGGCTAAGGCACTTGACTGCTAACCAGAAGGCTGACGGTTCAAACCCACCAGCCACTCCTCCAAAGGAAGATGGGGCAACCTACTTCCGTAGTGATACTGCCTCGGAAACCCAAGGAGGGGTCGCTATGAGTCAGGGCCGACTCAACAGCACATACCAACAACATAATACCTGTACCCAAACCAGCTCTGCTCTGATGTAAGGAGAGTTTCCCTGGGGTGTGGCCTCTATTACCTATTACAGGAGATAAAAGGAGAGTAAGCAGAGAAGGGGGGACCTGTGTACCACCAGGGAAGAAGAGCTAGGAGCGGAGTGTGTCCTCTGAACCTAGGGTCCTTACACTGAGAACCTCCTAGACCCAGGGGAAGACTGATACCAAGACACATGTAGATCTCCAAGGAATGTCAGGCCAACAGATGTTGAAAAGATACAAGGACTTTTTCCCAGAACCAACAGAGAAGAACTCTTCCCCTAGAGCTAGCACCCTGAATTCAGACTTCTAGCCTCCTCAACTGTGAGAGAATAAATTTGTTTGTCAAAGCCATCCACTTGAATTTCTGTTACAGTCACAGTAGATAACTGAGACAATGAACAAATGCTATATCATTGGGGATTTTTATCTAAGTAAAAGTAAAGGGATACCTGAGGACCTTGAGACCTATTGTGGTTAGACGAGTAAAGAAGAGTTAGAGGATAAAGGTCACTTAAGGCAAAGAATATGCATGGTTTTTTTTTTTTATACAGTTAAGATACAATGTGGACATATTTCTACAGAAATTATGATAGTCATTGAATTCAAATTATGATTATTTCATCACATCACTTCATCCATCCTAAATCTCAACATGAAAATATAATTTGTGGCTTTCAGCCTTTAATACTTAAAATTATAGCTATGCAAAGCTACTCCAAGTAATAGGTGTTATTTATGTAAACAAAGATGTTAAAAACAAAAAATCAGTATTGTCAAAAGAATAGAATTTCATTATATGATAGTATTGCTGCTAGAATTGACAGCTTGTCAAAGCTAGATCCATCATCCACTGGTTTTCTCATACCACTATCTATATTCTATACACAATCCATCTCCTGACAGTCCAACCAAATAAAAATTACTAAGCTAGTAATCATTGCTGTTCTTTTCTAATGAAACCACAACTTAAAATGCTTACCTAAAGACCCAAATATTTTGATATGTTAGATAATCAAGGAAAGCACAGCAAATATAAACTTAAAAATTATTTCAATAATAGGTAGAAACTCATCCACTTACTTTGCATCCTACTCCTTATTCTTGTGGTTTGTTCGACCCACTCCTGAGCATTTTTTTGATATCCTGAGCCTGAAGGAAATATATTTATCAAAATATCTTTACACATACTTTGAAAATTTATACATATTCTAGTGTTACAAATTAAATCTAATAGAAAGGCAGAATAAAGTAGGGAAGGAAAACAACAAAGCTATAGGTTCAGAAGTAGTTAATTTCAAAGGATCAAGCCTGTGAGGATGAACCACTTCCCATAGCAAAACAGGCAGCATATAAATATGGCCCGCAAGATAACACTGTGTAATAGTCCTTTGCTCTGGTCTATTAGAATAACTTAGTCCAATAACACTTCATCAGATCTCAATGTTATTTAAAAAGAAAAATATTAACCATTTACTCTTGAAAATAAGTTACTTACAGTAAAATAATCCTGAACACATTTTACATCATACTCTTGAAAATAAGTTACTTACAGTAAAATAATCCTGAACACATTTTACATCACAGTGTATCTGGTACCAATGTGTGTGGTGGATTAAGAGGTAAAGAGAGTAAAAAGACTCAAAATCTTATTGGAACATTTTGTTGGCAGAATAAGTCAGGATTTGAATTGACTGACTGAGGAAAGAGCAGGCAACCAAACACTTACTCAGCACTGACGGTTGCTTATCATGAGCTGTTGTGAAGTTGCGACCTGAGATAGAAAACAGGGATAAAGTTGTGGAATACTTGGAATTAAAAACAAAAAGATACTGCATAAACATTTTGCTTGTTTATTCATGGACACTATAAACCAAAAAATTCAAACTTTTTTTCTCTCACCATTCCAAACATGTATCTCATATATGTGTGTGTGTGTGTGTGTGTGTGTGTTGTGTATATATATATATATATATATATATATATATAATTTTTCCTTTTCCAAACTTCAGAATGTTCAGGAATTGAGTGAGAAGTCACTGTTAGCATCAATACCATCAAAATAACAGCTGGAATGTATTAAATGTTTGTTGTTGTTGTTAGGTGCCGCTGAGTCAGCTCTGACTCATAGCGACCCCATGCACAACAGAATAAAACACTGCTCAGTGAGGCACCATCCTTACAATCCTTGCTATGCTTGAGCCCAATCACTGCAGCCACTGTGTCAATCCACCTTGTTAGGGGTCTTCCCTTTTTTTTTTTTTTTGCTGACCCTCTATTTTACCAAGTATGATATCCTCATCTAGGGAATGGTCCCTTCTGACAACATGACCAAAACAGATGAGACAACGTCTGGCCATTCTTGCTTCTAAGGAGCATTCTAGCTGCACTTCCAGGACAGATTTATTCGTTCTTCTGGCAGTCCATGGTATACTCAGTATTGTTCGCCAACAACACAATTCAAAAGCATCAACTCTTTTTCAGTCTTCTTCATTCATTTCCCAGCTTTCAGATGCCTATGAGGCAACTGAAAATACCATGGCTTGGGTTAGGCACAGCTTAGTGTTCAAAGTGACATCTTTGCTTCTTAACACTTTAAAGAAGTCTTTTGCAGCAGGTTTTCTCAATGCAATATGATGTCTGATGTCCTGACTGCTGCTTCCATGGATGTTGACTATGGATCCAAGTAAAACGAAATCCTTGAAACTTCAGTCTTTTCTCCATTTATTGTGATATTGCTTATTGGTGCAGTTGTGAGGATTGTCATTTTCATTTATACTCAAGTATAATCCACACTGTCTTGCAAAATTCTATCATGTAATCTCCAGCATTATTTCTGTCACCATGGTCAATTTTCCAACTATTGGTGATTCTTCTTTGCTTCAAACTTTTGCATTCCAGTCTCGATTGACATTCAGTCAATTTCAGACTGCAGAAGTTTATAAAAATCTTCAATTTCTTCATCTTTGGCTTTGGTGGTTGGTGCATAAATTTGAATAATAGTCATATTAACGAGTCTTCCTTGTAGGCGTATGGATATTATTCAATCATTGACAGCACTGTACTTCAGGACAGATCTTGAAACATCCTTTGTGATGATGAATGCCATGCCATTCCTCTTTGTCATTCCCAGCATAGTAGATCACATGGTTGTCTGATTCAAAATGGCCAACACCAGTCCATTTCAGCTCACTAATGCCTAGGATATCAATCTTTATATGTTCCATTTCATTTTTAACAACTTCCAATTTTTCTAGATTCCTACTTCATACATTTCATGCTCCAATTATTAATGGATGTTTGCAGCTGTTTCTCCTCAATTTGAGTTATGTCATGTCAACAAATGGAGGTCTCAAAAGCTTTACTTTATCTGTATCAGTAAGGTTGGGTTCTACTCTGATGATGCAGCTCTTTCCCAATCATATTTTGAGAGCCTTCCGACCTAAGTGGCTCGTCCTCCTGTACTGTATCAGACAATGATTCTGGGCTATTCATAAAGTTGCCTAGTAATGTAACAGACATTATTTCTCTGCTATTCATAAGGTTTTCCCTGGCCAATTCTTTGAGAAGTAGATGGCCTCTTCCTTCTTCCTAGTCTGTCAGAGCTAGAGAATGAATAAGGAAGATGGAAGAATTGATGCTTTTGAGTTGTGCAGCTGGTGAAGAATGCTGAAAGTACCATGGACTGCTAAAAGAACTAACAAATCTGTCCTGGAGGAAGTGCAGCCAGAATGCTCCTTGGAAGCAAGAATGGCCAGACTTCATCTCACCTACTTTGGTTATATTATCAGAAGGGATCATTCCCCGGAGAAGGATGTCATGCTTGGTAAGGTGAAGGGTCGATGAAAGAGGGGAGGGCCCTCAATGAGATGGATTGACACAGTGGTTGTGGCAATGGGCTCAAATATAGCAAGGATCGTGGAGCTGGTGTGGGACTGGGCGGTGTTTTGTTCTGCTGTGCACAGGGTCACTATGAGTTGGAGACAACTCGACGGCACCTAAGGACAATAACCACATAATCCATACTGAAGGCTGTAGTTTTTGATCTTCATCAGTAAGTGCTTCAAGTCTTTAAATGTTTATCATGTGTCAAGTATAATTTTACTTAATTCTCAGACCTTATGTGGTAGATGGTGTCCCTGAGTGGTACAAAAGGTTAATACATTTGGGTGTTAACTGAAAGGCTGGAGGTTCAAGTCCATTCACAGGTGCCTTGGAACAAAGGTCTGGTGATTTACTTCTAAGAAAATCAGCATCGAAAACCCCATGGAGCACAATTCTACTCTGATACATATGGGGTCACCAAGAATTGGAATTTACGTGACTGGTAACTGGATTTTATTATATAAGCAAATTTGTAGGCATGCACAGTAGCTACAAAGTAAAAGATACTACTTCAAGTTTGGGGGTCAGGATTTAAGGACAGTTATAAAAAGATCCACAGAATGGTTAGAAAAGGATGTTAGAAAGTCAAACAATTATAACAAAGTAAATTTCCGTATCTGTCCTGAAGGAGTTCTATTCATTGCTCATACTCTGAAATATACTGTATGTAAAATAATGTAAATTTATTTAAAACTTTTTCTGAGTACAAATGAAATATATCTAGTTATAAAAATTAATATTCTTGAAATGCATAACTTAAAAATTCACAAATAACTATTTGTCTACTGTATGCCAAACAGTGTGTGTAGGAATACAAACAACAAAAAATTTACTGTCTTCAAGTCTATTCGAATAGATTGCGACCCATTTAGGACAGAGTGGAATTGCTCCATAGGGTTTCCAAGGCTTTAAATCTTCACAGAAGCATTCTGCCACATCTTTGTTGCATGGAGTAGCTGGTTGGTTAGGACAGTTGACCTTCTGGTTAGCAGTGGAGGGCTTTAACCACTGCACTCCCAGGGTTCCTCATTTAAGAATATAGTGGGGAATAAGACAGAAAGATGTCTATTCTTCCACATTTGTTTTCAGGCTTATGCTAACAAAATTCATTTATAAAAAGTGGACTTTTTTTTTCCCCCTCTTTGTCTTTCATTAAGGAGCTCTGGTGGCGAAGTGCCTAAAGCATTTGACTGCTAACCAGAAGGCTGGTGGTTCAAATCCACCAGCCTCTCCTCGGAAGGAAGGTTGGGCAATCTACTTCCACAGTGATACCACCTCAGAAATCCAAGGAGGTGTCACTAGGAGTTGGATCCGACTCCACGGCAGTGTGTTGCGTTATGAGTTTACCATTAACTTTTTCACTATATTTACTTTATCACTTATTTATTTATCGTTCCAAACATTTACAAAAGTTGAGATCATACTGCATATAAATTTTATATCATTATTAGAATATATTCATCATAAGGAAGCTAACTAAACTAAAAGCAATCAACAAATGTATATTGCAAGCAAGGACATTCTATAAATCATAGACAATAGTGGGTTTTTTTTTTTTTTTTAATTCAAATTCAGGCTTAGGCACAAACATGAATAACTCAAGAAGTTAACTCCAAGAAAGAGCTTTGATAAGTCCTTTTAGAATTTATTACATCTTTTTTTTAAAACTTTCATAAACTGGAAAAGAAGGTCTTCAAAAGTAAGAACAGCATTTGATCATGCCCACAGGTGGGCCTGTAAGAGTGTGAAACATGGCTTTACTTACTTTGTGGTGACTGCCAAAGTGATTCTGGATATTGACTGGCTGACCTGATGGTTTCATCTAAAAAATAAAAAGGAAATATAGTATACTCTAAACCATATTTAACCTTTTAATTTTAGTGTTTACAAAAGAACAATGAGTACTTAATCAAAAGAGAAAAAATATTCAGATAAACCTCAGGGAATTCAACACCTAGATGCATAATTTATATTAAAAAAAAAAACGTTTCTGGAAGAGTCATATTGTATCTAAAAATTTAGCTACATTTTCTTTCTTTTCCCTCATCACTTTTAAATTAAAAAACAAAAAAACAAGAAAGGAACACAGCATGAGGTAAGGGAGGTAACAAAACCTTTAAGCCAGAAAAAATTTTGAAAGTTTCCCATGATGGATCTTCTTGAAATTATTAACAATCATTTTTTGTCATAAAACTTTCTAACAAATGGGTAGCGCATTATGTATTTCAGTCTACTCTTCTTAAAAACTTGTCTTTTCCCCACATAAAAAGAATAAGTTACAACTAAATATGTTTGGTTAATAACAGATTGCTATTTTGGACACAGACGCATTTGACACAGAGGTGTGGTGGCTAAATATTTTGGACAAAACTCAGCAAAAAGCAAACTCTTATTTACTAAAGAAATTCTGAGCATCAACCTTCGATACATATTTCTTTCTAATATTAGATACATGCACTACTGAAATAAAAAATATTAACTTATATGTTGTAAACCAAAAAAAAACCAAACTCTCTGTCACCAAGTCTATTCCAACTCATAGCAACTCCTTCTTGGGTTTCCTAGGTGGTATCTCCACAGAAGTAGATTGCCCAATCTTCCTCCTGAGGAGTGGCTGGTGGGTTTGAACCACCCAGCCTCTGGTTAGCAGTCAAATGCCTTAGGCACTATGCCACCAGAGCTCCCATGTGTTGTATAAAACAACAACAACAAAAAAAAAAACCAGACATTTTAAATGGGTGAAATAAAAAAAATAAATGAAATTCTAGTATTTTCTTCCTACATTCAAATTCATACCTCTCTGAAGATGATTGGCCTAAAGGGTAACTTAAGAAGCTTAATATTATTTTTAATATTTATTAACTCTTTGTTCTTTGCAAGTATTTTCTTCTGCATGTGGGTATGTATGCCCCAGTAAGGTCACACAATTATTAGAATAAATTCTAAAGGGATCAGAGACTAGGGTTTATGTACTTCCAAATAGCTGTATGCTGGTAGCAATGGCAGCAAACTATTAACTATATAAATTGTTCAATTAGTCTCTAATTACCAAAGCTTTATGTGTACATATATTAAAACTAATAATAGCACTTAATTTGAATATTTGCTATGTGCCAGGTACTTTCTAAATACTTTACATCCCACTTATATGTTAATTTAATCCTCACAACAATGCAGATGAGGAAACTGAAGAACATAGAAATAACTGCTTAAGGGTACACATCTACTAAGTGAAGGTATGAATACCAGGGGTTCTGGCTCCAGAGTCCATATTCTTAAACACTATGCTAGAGTGTTACCTATCTCCTTTCAAGATTTCTATGTCAAGAAAGAATAGGGAAAAATGAGGGAATATTGAATACCAAATACCCATAAACCAATTTACAGGCTTATTTTACAAGTGGAATGATGAAGTAAAACACAAGAATTATAGAAATTCTCATGAGGCAGTGTGGTAGTTAAGATTATGTGTCAACTTGGCTGGACCTGGTTTTGAGTGGCTGGGCAGCTGCATGTAGTGATGCCCCATGATGAGATTGGTAATCACTCCATGGTGGAATCTGCTGTGAGCAGCTGAGTAGCTGCCTTAGGGATATAGTCTGTTTCTAGTATATAAGAAGCAGCTCTGAGGAAGGTCTTTAAGCTTTTTGGCATGCTTGGACCCTTCCCATAGCTGAGTCTTCATTCAGCAGCCTGCCATATTGCCTGCCAATCTTGGGACTGTTTCTGGATTTGAACTAGTGGCCTGCTGTGTTGCTTAATAATCTTGAGACTGTGCCATTTTACTTGTCAGCCTTGGGTTTGTCAGCTTTAGCAGCAAGAAGCTGCCTGACTTAAGAGAAGCCTCCAGCTTCAGTGAGCTGGGAGCAAGAGGCAGAGCTGAAGCCCAGGGTCGAGGAACCTTCAACAGCCCCTGGAGATGGCCTTTTGAACTTGTACTTCTAGCCTCCTAAACTGTAAGAGAATAAATCCTTGTTTGTTAAAGCCACACACTTGTGGTATTTTCTATTAGAGCAGCACTAGAGAACCAAAACAGAATTTGGGATTGAGAGAGTAGGGTGCTGCTCTGACAAGATACCTAAATGTAGAAACAGGAGTGGAGTGCAACCTTGGACCCAAGATCCCTGTGCTGAGACCGGCAGAGAGATGGTGACAGCAGAGTTAAGAGACCAGCATGAGACAGAGTGACAGGCTTACCAGCTCATGGAGGAGAAAGTTGGATGCCTTTGGGTAGGAGGCTTCCTGGCAGAGTGGGTTGCCTTTGGGCACTAATTGGTAAAAGAAACTGGCATGATATGAAGTAGTAGGCCTGCTGAACCATGGAGCAGAAAGCTGAATGTTTTTGGGCAGGAAGCTTCCTAGAGGGGTGGGTTGCCTTTGGGCATTAATTGGCAGAAGCTGAGAGACCAAATAAACATGAAGGATAGGTGCCTCAGCCTCAAACAGTAGGACCATGGCCTCTGGGGGTGGAACCACCACAGCCTCCTAGGTTTCAAAGAGCCAGATATTCACCAACGTGCTTCTGGAGTATAGGGCTGCTATTCATGAGGGTCACTGGGATGGGGCTGTAGCTGCTGCCCAAAAGTGAGGGGGTAGGGCTGCCATGCCCAAGGGATAGAGGAATAGGGCCTGCCAGGCCAAGGGGGAGAGGTCACCATTCAGATGGACGAGGGAGACTCAGGGACCCAATGAAGAAGATCTGTATAGGTACCAAATTGACAAGGGGTGGAACTGTGGTAGTTAAGATTATGCGTCAACTTTGCTGGGCCTGGTTTTGAGTGGTAGGGTAGCTGCATGTAGTGATTCCCCATGATGAGACTGGTAATCAACATGGTGGAATCTGCTATGAGTAGGTGAGTAGGTGCCTTAGGGATGTGGTCTGCTTCTAGTATATAAGCAGCAGCTTTGAGAAGGGTCTCTGAGATTTTTGGCACATCTGTATCCTGTATTTGGCCAACTCTTTATCTCAGTGGCCTGCCATGTTGTCTGCCAAACTTGAGACTATTTCTGAATATGAACTAATGGCCTGCCATGTTGCTTAATAATTTTGGGACTGTGCCATTTCACTTGTTGACCTTAGGTTTGCCAGCCTCAGCAGCCAGCAGCTGTCTGAGTTAAGAGAAGCCTCCAGCTTCAGTGGGACGAAGAGGTAGAGCTGAAGCCCAAGTTCAAGGGGCCTTCACCCAGCCCCTGGAGTTGGCACTCTGAACTTCGACTTCCAGCCTCCTAAGCTATAAAAGAATAAATTCCTGTCTGTTAAAGTCATCCCACTTGTGGTATATTTTCTGTTAGAGAAGCACTAGAGGACCAAAACAGGCAGTGAGGAGAAAGTGAAGAATCACTCTTCCACAGGGACTGAAATTAAAAATTACTCCTTACTTGTGGAGCTCACAAATTCATCCAACACTTACACAAACCTCAAACTGGCATTTTTCTCTCTCTTTAGACAATTCTTTCTTCAAATAACTTTAAAAGATTAACAATCTGTGATATGTAGATGACACAACTTTGCTTGTTGAAAGTGAAGAGGACTTGAAGCACTTACTGATGAAGATTAAAGACTACAGCCTTCAATATGGATTACACCTTAATATAAAGAAAACAAAAATCCTCACAACTGGACCTATAAGCATCATGATAAATGGAGAAAAGATTGAAGTTGTCAAAGATTTCATTTTACTTAGATCCACTATCAACATCCATGGAAACAGCAGTCAAGAAATCAGATGTCATATTGCACTGGGCAAATCTCCTGCAAAAAACAAGTGTTGAAGAGCAAAGATGTCACTTTGAAGACTAGGGTGCACCTAACTCAAGCCATGATATTTTTAATTGCTTCATATGCATATGAAAGCTGGAAAATGAATAAGGAAGACTGATGAGGAGTTGATGCCTTTGAATTGCGGAGCTGGCAAAGAATACTGAAAATACCACAGACTGCCAGAAGAATCAACAAATTTGTCCTGGAAGAAGTGCAGCCAGAATGCTCCTTAGAAGTGAGAATGGCCAGGCTTTGTTTCACCTACTTTGTTCATGTTGTGAGAAGGGATCATTCTCTGAAGAAGGGTATCATGCTTGGTAAAGTGGAGAGTCAATGAAAAAGAGGAAGTCTCTCAACAAGATGGATTGACACAGTGGCTACCATGATGGGCTCAAGTATAGCAAGGATTGTGAGGACGGTGCACAACCAGGCAGTGTTTCATTCTGTTGTACATGGGGTTGCTATGACGTGGAGCCAACTTGATGGCACCTAACAACAACAACTGAATATATTAAAACTTCCTAAAAGCTAATCAACACTCTTGATAGTATAGTGACTCTGAAAGACTATGTGATCAGTTTCTCTAGAAAATTCAAAAGCAAACTAAAAAATAACTCACTCCTTCTGAGCACTGAAATACCTTGTTTTCCATAAACACCAAAAGCAGAATTGAAAATAATTACTTGATACTACATTACTAACTAGATACCTAAGTAGAATCTATAATTTAAAATTTAATAAAAAATAACTTAGTCACTATTAAAAGCACACTTTTTAAAAAAGCAAATTCACATATACTTTTATATTTCAGAGAAAAAGATAGTTAAGATAAGAGTCATATCATAAAAGAATGTTACCTTCAGATTCAATAGAATCCCCTGATCTGACCTTAACAGTAGTAACATCACTGTTAGAACTGTCTGGATTGTCTTCATCTGTTTCTCCTTTAAAAAAAAAAAAAAAGAATATACGAGTACAATCGTTACTGTAATGCTAAAAAGAAACAGACTAAAAAACAAACCAAAACAAATAACAAAAGCTAATTCTACATTAAAATGAAGATTATTTAATAATCAGATATGGAATTTGTTTCCTATCTTTACTATAAAAATACCACATGTGGATCATAACAAATTATGGATAACATTGAAAAGAATCAGAATTCCAGAATGCTTAAATGTGCTCATGCAGAACCTATACATAGACCAAGAGGCATGGTTTAAAATCAGGAAAAAGTGTGTGTCCTGGTTGTGTCCTTCTACCATACTTATTCAATCTGTATGCTGATCAAATAATCCAAGAAGCTGGACTGCATGAAGAAGAATATGGAACCAAGATCGAAGGAAGACTTGTTAACAACCTGAGATGTGCAGATGACACAACTCTGCTTGCTGAAAGTGAAGAAGACTTGAAGCACTTACTGATGAAGATAAAAGACTACATCCTTCAGTATGGACCTCAACATAAAAAAAAAAAAAAAAAAAAATCTTCAAACTGGACCAATAAGCAATATCACAATAAATGAAGAAAATGTTGAAGTTGTGAAGGATTTCATTTTACTTGGATCCACAATCAACACCCATGAAAGCATGAGTCAAGGAATCAAACTACGTATTGCACTGGGCAAATGAGCTACTAAAGACTTTTTTAAGTGTTAAAGAGCAGAGATGTCACTTTGAAGACTAGGTGTACCTGTTCCAAGCCATGGTTATTTTCAATTAATTGCCTCATGTAAGTGTGAAAGCTGGACAATGAACAAGGAAGACCAAGAAAGAAGTGAAGCCTTTGAATTATGGTGTTGGTGAAGAATACTAAATACATCATAGACTGCCAGAAGAACAGACTACTCTGTCCTGGATGAAGTACAGCCAAAATCCTTCTTACTTAGAAGTGAGGATGGCAAAATTTCGCCTCTCATGCTTTGGTTATATTATCAGGAGGCACCAATACCTAAGAAGGTTATATGCTTGATAAAGTAGAGGATCAGTGAAAAAAGCCCTCTATGATATGGATTGACACAGTAGCTGCAACAATGGGCAATGAGGATGTTACAGGTGCAGGCAGTATTTTGTTCTGTTTCTACATAGGATGGCTATGAGTCAGAACTGACTTGACACCACCTAACAACAACATTTGTATTTTGAACCACATAGCTTAAACGGGTGAGCTCATTTGTCTTGTGGTATCCTATATGAACATATCCTTCAAGAACATCTAAAAGACTATATTCAGAAGCTTTAATGTAGAGTCAAAAGTTAGTAATTAAATAGTGGGAAATGTTTACCATGTGGGTTGGAGAAAACCACCAATAGGTAGTTAAGCAAGATCAGAGTACACATGTCTGTGTGTATGTAGAGTGGGTGTATACACACACATAAATACACACACGTCAGTATTTAGGTGAATAAGCTTAGATATGCTAGGCTTAACCATGGACTAAATTTTACTCCTAGACTAGTCAAACAGATTGGTTACGAAAATTTGGAAAATTATTTTCATAATAAAATCAAAGGCATGAAAATATGAGAAACTGAAAATATTTATCTTTGCTTAAAATTATTAACTTAAATAGACAAAAGATGCTTCAAATATACATGAGAGTGATCATCATTCATTCTATTCTATTTTTTCACTTGCCCACTTAACAGTTCATGTAAGTATGAATCTTTTTTCCTGAGGAAAAAGACACTGTTTTCTGCTCTTGCCTCATTAAGTATCCATCAAAATTGCTACTAATAAGAAAAATATTTAGAAAATAATTGCATGACTTAAAAGTACCTTCTTCAGAGAAATTGACCTTCTGTTGGACACTGGTAGCTTCTAGAAGAGAAAAGCATAATGTGTATGACATCAGAAGTTAAAGGTTATGAATAAATATTCTAGTTTGGGAAAGTGAACATAAAGACACATTAAATAAACATTTTATATGTTAAGGCATAAAGAATCTATCATTAATCCTAGGCTATTTCATATATAAGTAATATGAACTAGAATGAGAAAATTATCTATTTTCCTTCATTCATAGATCTATTTATACTCTAAAATTTAACCTGTGTAACCAGAAAAAATGAAATACTCTAGTCCCTATAGGTTTACTCTATTCTCATTTCTCCTATTTGTTAGCCTCCATACACTCCCTTAAGAACACTACCATACCAGTAGAATTGAGAGATAAAGCAAGCTTCTTTCTAGTTCCAGCAGGTTCCCACATATCACTATTTCTTATAGCAACACAGAAACTGTACAAAGATAAATAAGCAAAACATATCCAACAAACTTTTCTTCATAATTTTTTCCTTTCACTGTGGGGAATTAGGTCATAGATTATTTTGATTCTGTACTATCAAAATATAGTACAGAATATTGTTAGAATCTCTCATATTAGGACAGGTTGAGTTCTCAGTCTTTTACTATTTATTAAAAAAATTATTGAAATATCTACCAATACAACTTCCACACGTACAATTCAATGACATTATTTTTCATGTTGTGCCACCATTATGGGTCTCTTCATCTAAAACATTTCACCACCATTAACATAAACTCAGTGTCCCCCAAACAAAAACTCCCCTTCCCTTCCCTCCCCATTTCTGATAACCACTGAGAATCTTTGGTTTCTATATATTTGCTTATTTCATATAAGTGAGATGATACAGTATCCTTTTGAGACTTATTTTGATCACCATAATGTTTTCCAAGTTCATCTACATTGAGACATGCATCAGAACTTAATTTCTCTTTATAGCTGTATAATATTCCACAGTATATACATACCACATTTTGCTTATCCATTCACTTGTTGATGAATATTTTGGTTCTTTCCACCTTTTAGCTATTGTGGAATATGCTTCAAAGAACATTGGTGAACAGGTTTCTCTTTGTATTCTTGCCTTAACTAGGATTGGGATTACTAGGTCATAAGATAATTCTGTATTAATAACCCTTTTAAGACTAAATTATTTTACGCTTTCAGTTTTTTTTGTTGATAATGTGTTTTCAGTAATGGAAAGGAGGCTGAAATCAAGGGAAAAAGAATCGTTTGAGGTAGCGAATTTTGATATGATTATGTAGAACCCATACAGTCCAAGTGGACTTTGGTGGTAGGATTGGGACAGGGTAAGGCCTGTTTCGTCAGATTTCTAGTTATACAGATTACTGCCAGGTGGTAGCATGTACTACAATTGGGATAGGAGTTTCTCAAGACACTGAGAGGCTGAAAATATTGGTGGGCAATATATGTCCCATGGGTTACGAAAGGGTTAAACTTTGAAGAACTGTCAAACCATTTTCCACAGTGGCTGCCTTATTTTACATTGTCGCCAGTACTGGAATGATGGCTCCAGTTTCTCTACAATCTCATCAACACTTTTTATTTTTCTTTTAAATATACTGGCATTCTATTGCTATCTCATGTGGTTAGATGATATCTCATTGTGGTTTTCATTTGCATCTTCCTAACAGCTAATGGGGGAGCTCTGTAGCATAGTGGCTAAGGCACTTGACTGCTAACCAGAAGGCTGGCGGTTCAAATCCACCAGCCACTCCTTGGAAGGAAGATGGGGCAATTTACTTCCGTAGTGATACTGCCTCGGAAACCCAAGGAGGGGTCACTATGAATCGGGTCCGACTCGACGGCACATAACAAGGACAAAATAGCTAATGGGGAGCTCTGGTGGCATAGTGCCTAAGGCATTTGAGTGCTAACCAGAAGGCTGCCGGTTCAAACCCACCTGCCACTCCTTGGAAGGAAGGTTGGGCAATTTACTTTGGTAGTGATACTGCCTTGGAAACCCAAGGAGGGGTCGCTGTGAGTCGGATTCGACTCAATAGTAGTGCACTCACTCGTAACAGCTAATGATGCTGAGCCTTTTTTCATGTGCTTATTGGCCATCTGAGTATCCTCTTTGTTAAACTATTTGCTCACTGTCCTTTGCCTATTTTTGATTGGGTTGTTGGTCTTTGCAAACACAAACTTCATATACAGTGTTTTTAAGCAGATATAGACTGTTCGGAAACCTTTTTTAAATGAAGGGAGATATATCTAAATGTAGGCATTGCACAATTAGGCTAAAATATCGTTGAAGGATCATAAGCAGAGAAGTAGCCTGAATCAGATTGCTTCAACAAAACTGATCTTTTTGTTTATTTTCAGATTTCATCTCTATTGATTTTAACCTCTAAAGGCAATTGCCAATACATGATGAATTTGGAGATTTATTTATTTAGCCAAATCATTTTAATTGGTATAATGCTAGTCAAACTGGGTTCCATTGAAAATGCTCCTTCTTCACCTGGTTAGCAGGGCTGCTTTTATCTTTGGCAAAGTGGACATTGTTGCCATCAATGACCCCTTTATTGACCTCAATAAACATGGTCTATTTTAATAAACAAATAAATGGTCTACATGTTCCATTATAATTCCACCCATGGCAAGTTCTATGGTACTGTCAAGGCTGAGAATGGGAAGTTTGTCATCAACGGGAAGCCTATTGCTATCTTTCAGGAGTGAGATTCTGCCAACATCAAGTGGGGTGATGCTGGTTCTGAGTATGTTGTGGAGTCCACTGGTGTCTTCACAACCATGGAGAAGGCTGGAGCTCACTTGAAGGGCAGTGCCAAAAGGGTAATCATCTCCGCCCCTTCTGCTGATTCCCCCATGTTTGTGATGGGTGTGAACCATGAGAAGTATGAAACTCCCTCAAGATTGTCAGCAATGCCTCCTGGACCACCAACTGGTTAGCCCCCATGCCAAGATCATCCATGACCACTTTGGCATTGTGGAAGGACTCATGACCACAGTCCATGCCATCACTGCCACCCAGAAGACTGTGGATGGGAAACTGTGGCGTGGTGGCCGTGGAGCTGCCCAGAACATCATCCCTGCATCTACTGGTGCTTCCAAGGCTGTGGGCAAGGTCATCCCTGAGCTGAATGGGAAGCTCACTGGCATGGCCTTCCGTGTCCCCACCCCCCAATGTTTCAGTTGTGGACCTGACCTGCCATCTAGAGAAAGCCGCCAAATAAGATGATATTAAGGAGGTCGTGAGGTAGGCATCAGAGGTCCCCTAAAGAGCACCCTGGGCTATACTGAAGACAAAGTTGCCTCCTGTGACTTTAATAGTAACACCCACTCTTCCATTTTTGATCCTGGTTGCCCTCAACAACCAGTTTGTTAAGTCCCTTTCCTGGTATGAAAATGAATTTGGCTAGAGCAACAGGGTGGTAGATTTAATGGTCTACATGGCCTCCAAGGAATAAGAGCCCCCTGGACCACCAGCCCCAGAACTAGCACTAGGGGAAGAGAGAGACCCTTGGCTGCTGGGGAGTCCCTGCCCCAACTCCATCCCCCAGCACACTGAAAATCTCCCATCTTCTACAGTTTCCATCCAGACCCCCAGAAGAAGGGGAGGGGCTTAGAGAGCCCAACCTTGTCATGTACCATCAATAACCACACTGTACCTAAAAAAAAAAAAAAAAGAAGAAAAAGAAAGAAAATGCTTCTTGATGGTGGCAAGTACAAATGTACCTGAAACAAGTTTCAACATTTTTTGCTAGAAAAAAAAAACTAACACTCAGAAAATTGCCAATATTACCATCTTATTCTTAAAAAGCTAGAATCTGGTTAGTATACTATGTACTATTTTAATCTAGGATCTTTAGGCAGATTGTCCTTTCATTTTCTCTTTCTCAAGCAGAAAAATGCAAAGGCAAACATATCTTATTTAGCATCTCTCCTTGAAAATGTCATTAACATACAAAAAGGTATTGTTCCCTTTTTGAAGTATTATTTTTTAAGTATGTAGCTATTGTAGTACTTCTTTTTGGTATAACAGGTTTATTTTATTCATTTATAAAACTATTTATACAGCATGCAAACAAAAGATGACTTCTTAAGAGTCAAATACCATGTTTTAGTTATTATCTCAATAATAAGTCCTTAATATTTCTATATTGCTTTCGGTTTTCAAAAAAAACCCCTTCATGTCTGTTATCTGATTCCTGTAATGTCATAAGGAAACAGTTTCACAGGTGAGGATCAGCGATATTAAATGACTTGTCTAAGGGTGTCAGGAAAACAAAGTAATAAAAAGGAACTTGAAAATAGGCTCTTCTGACTTCCATTCTATCACACCTCTACTACGGCATCAGTCTTGTTCATGCCAGCACACAGTAAGCATTGAATAATATTTTGAATAAATGAATGTTGAAAAAAAGGTTGAAAGGTTCTAACAACTCCTAAGTGTAAGTAACGAAACACAGTAGCTTTTTTTAAAGTTACATTTGTATTAGGGCATATTATTTTATATAATTTACTCTCTTAAAATTACTTAGAGAAGTAAAACTTCTTTAAGGCTGAGTTGATTTTAGCATCTGTATTAATATTTAAAAAGTGTGTTGAGATTTACATTCATTCATTGTGCTCATCAGAAAAAAATGAATAGTAAACTCCTTTTGCATTCTTATATAATTTATTCTTTTGAAAACTTTATTTATATTATTTAAGCTCCAGGTCAATTTGTCTAAAGCCAATTCACCTAATAATCAACCCCCCATACACCAGGCTGCTGGAATTCAGTCTCCTTTTTTATGTTGTCTAATCTGAAGCAGGAAGCTCTGGCAGTGTAGTGCCTAAGACATTTGACTGCTAACCGGAAGGTTGGCGGTTCCAACCCACCAGTCACTTCTTGGAAGGACGACTGGGCAATCTACTTCCATAGAGATTACTCTACTGCCTCAGAAACCCAAGGAGAGGTCACTATGAGTCAGATCCGACTTGACAGGAGTGAGTTTGGTTTTTGGTTTTTCTGAAACAGGAGAAG